TAACTTAGTTTTTATGTGGTCGAGTTTATTACCCCGATAAATTGGCGAATTTTAAACCAAATCATTTCTGTTACCTACAATCATTACTATCGAGTCCTCCACCAATTATTAGTCATTTGTCACCTAGAATTGATGTAGCACCATTTATATTTCCATTAGTTGAAAATAATTCCCAACATATTTTTCCACCTCCAATCGAATATCCGCCTATTATTAGCTATTTACCAACTATTTTATCTGATGATGATTTACTATTCTATTCTCCAATTTCTGTTGACAATGATTCTCCACCTATCTCACCTTCAATCAAATCCCTGTCTAGTATGAGTCATTTATCACATATTTCATCATCAGCAGACAATAATCCTCCACATATTTTCAACCTCTAATCAATTCCCCATCTAGTATCGCTTGTTTATCACCCGTTTTGATGCCAGCTATCCTTAATGATTCACCATTCATATTTCCATCTTCAGTTAACAATAATTCTCCAACTATTACTAATTTATCATCAATTGTTAGTAGCAGCTTACCTTTTCTAGACCCCGATAATATTATGAATATGTTATTGAATCCCATAAATATTCTAGAATCAATACCAACCGGTATCAAAAACAATGTTATATTTACAATAAGTAATAAAGAAAATATGATTTTGAAAGAAAGGGGTAAAAAATTAGTGCATAGCGATGATTGTGGCGCGTGGACTGGTACATCCACAGGTACAGCAAAATATTATTATAGTATAAATATCAATGATAATACAATTAGCAGTGGTTCTATGGTTATTAAGGATGGCTTATTTGGCAAGTCCACCACAAAACGATATAATCATATATTTATTGCAAAACCACAACCAAATCCTCAGGACTTGGTAATTTTAAATCTTTATTATACAAAACTGAAAAATTGTGAAACGTATAAAAGAAGAATATGCCATTTAGATAAATATTTAAACAGCTCAGTTCATCTTATTCAATCTATATTTATAGTTGAATACATAGGAACATATCCAGGGTTGTTTCCACATGGAAACAACAGATACTAGCAGGAGTTTATAGTCATACCCCAGTATGTATAATGCGACAAATTAAGGAAAAGGTAGTGCATTAGCCTCAAAAGACGTGTACCAAGATTTAATAGCTAATGAAGAATATTTTACTTCCAGAGATATCAAACAAATTCGTAATATACAATTTAACGAATTGCATAAAAATGATTTGAAAAATTTTTCTGACCAGATAAATGAATTCCAATATTAAAAAAAATAGATATAAGCCCAGACAGAGTATGTTCGCTAATATTATAAACTAGTTTAATGTTAGATAATATTATATATATTTGTTCTCAAGATTTTCCTTATTAGGTCCCTTGTTTGTGACGACAACAGTTTTCAAGAATCAAGTGCTCATGTCTAAATAACAGGATCATCCTATATTCTTTGGTCCTATATTTTTGCATGGCAGCTCTGATTATGAAACTTTTAACATTTTCTTTTCGCACTTGGAAGGCTTCTTCAAAAAAAATAAAATAAATGTTGAAAATCTTATATTCGGCAGCGATGAGGAGCTAGGTTTGATAACTTCGTTAAGAAAGAATTTTAGTAATTCTACACATATATTATGCACCTATCATATGAAAAAGAATCTAAACTTATTTTTACAGGATAAAGAGGGAATGGATTCAAGGACAAGGGAAGATATTGTAACTAAAATTTTTGGCAAAGAAGGACTTGTATTTTCATTAAGCGATAAAATCTTTGGAGAAAAGGTTGAAAAACTGCGAGATTATTGTAGAGATAAACAGTTTATTAAATTATTGAAACATATAGATGCCAGTTTAAAAAATAATTTATTTTTATATGTATATTTACCTTTAAAAAATAAGGTGATATCGTATCTTTATACTAACAATAACTGCGAATCTTTAAATAATGTGTTAAAAATAAAGTTTAACCGAGATTCTACAACACCTGTGCATATGATGGTCAATAAAATTTATGAATTAAGTTTAGCACAAGAAAAAGATTTTGAAAGAGCCCTTCTTGGTATGGGAAATTATTATTTAACAAAATGATGTGACAAAAATTCGTCATGAATGGGACCAGATAAGTGACGATCAACGTAAAAAAATAATATTAAATGTGTACAAATAAACAAAAAAAAATACCTCGACATGTGGTGGATTGACATTAATTCAACCTACAGGATCTAAAAAACCGTGTAAATCTAAAAGATCTAGATCAGATAGAACTAGAGCCTAGTTATTATAGTTCCTACATAAAAATTAACCAGTAGGCACTAATTTATTTCAGAATTAATTTATCCAAAGCCCTTTTTAGGGCCATAACACCCAAAGGCCCTTTTTAGAGCCATAAAACCCAAAGGCCCTTTTTAGGGCCACTCAACGAAAAGTTCGCTACAAAATCCAAAGACCCTTTTCATGGACATTTAAACAATCAAATTATATTACTTTAACGATTAACTTAACAAAACAAAATTTGTAGAAAAAGAAATACATGGACGCTTAACCCACCAACAATTCTCATTAGATATTAGCCGACGTTAAAACCCCAAGTTATTTTTGAGATTATACTTAAAAATCTTTTATTTTTAAAACTAAAACCTAACAATCTATCAATAAAAAAAAATATATTAATACATTAAAAAAAATCAATAATATTTTCTTTTAAATTAATAACAATAATAATAATATACATATACCTAGAACACCTCCCTTATTTTTAAGAGGCGTTCTCAGGTTACTAAATATATATATAAAAAAAATATTACATTTTATAATATATATTGCTCCTCTTTATTCATTACTTCATTTATACCCATCTCTGCTAATTCTTGTTGCACTTCTTCAGCTACGTTCATTTTGACGGGTCTTTTCCTTTGCAATGCTGGTTTTTTCATAAGTGTCTTACGCACTCCAAAATTCTTCTGATTCATGAGTACTTGCTTAGGCAGGATTACATTAGAACGATCCAGAATTGTGCTAGCACGAGCAAAATTCGAATCATTGACTTTATTTTGGTTATTATCATTATTATTGATAACATAAGTATTGCTGGGACAGTTAGCTGCTTTGTGTCCTTCTGTTCCACAGGCAAAACAAGTTAAACGGAATATAGGTCTGTTGAACAATTGCTGAACACTCATCCTTGATCTATGAAAGGATGGTTGCACATTTATCGTTGGTTGGTTTGGTGGCTGACCATTTCTCACAAGTTCCTCCTTCCTATTTGCCAGTTCAGTCCATGCACAGGCTAAAGCAGTTCCTGCTTGCGCTTTTTGATCTGCAGGATACTAGATTTTAAGTTAACGTAATACGTGTTCATGGTCACTCCTATTATCAATAAATTTTTCAACAAATTTTCCGAATTTAATTAATAAAATTAATTACTAAACATCATTAACTTTTCTTATTTATTCCAACTTATATTTAATTATTATTTTCACAATAAACAATTAATTTGATAAACAAATAACATTTTTTAATCCACTCACCACCCTCATTATTTATTTCAAAATATATACTTTCCAAACCTCTTTAAATCAACTTTTTATCTCTTGCTGCATAAATTTCACTTTTTCAATAATAATTCATAAGTTGTTTAAATTTATCCTTTTTCTTGTCAACTCTTTTATTTCTCGGTGCATATGTTTCACTACAATAATAAAATTAATAACTTTTACGTTAAATATAAATTAGTTTCTTTCTACCAAATAAATTGATTTCTTATCTCAACATTCTATCAATTTAAAAAGTTAACACAATTTACATTACTATAAAATAATTCCCCTCTTCAACTTTTCCTTTTATCTCTCAACTGTTTTTTTTAACACAAAAAAAAAACTATTAACCACGATATGCTTCACTTCACTTAAGAACAAATATTTAATAAAACAAAAGATGACCTGCAATATACATTTTTGTTAAACCAAACGAATTATCAACATATTCAGTTATATGTATCTCATAAAGATAATTCTTACTTTTACCTTTACATACTTCTAACTATTCAATTATATATATGATTTGCCTAACTTTGATCGTAAAGTCATTTGATCGTAAAGTCATTTGATCGTAAATTTTGTCCATTTTTCTGATTGGTCTATTTAATCGCGGTAAATTAAAATCATTTAAAAACATTATGCTTAATACTGTAGCTGATAATTTAAGACTATTTTTTAAAAGAAGAAATGAATCATTACAAAGTATGATATATTTAATTTGATTTTTAAAAAAATATTTTTTTAGAGTGACACAAAATCATCTAACAGCTGAAGGTATATTTAATACTAAACTTATCTAGATTACATACATTAATTTAGATAAAGATTCTCAGTGTAATATAGATCAGAATATTAGCCAACCCAGTAGCTCATCTAGTAATCAATAAGTAACATATAAAATAATTATTTTTGAATAAACAAGCTGATATATAATTAGACCTGGAAGACATTAACAATGCAGGAATTTTATTAGACTTACATAATTCCAACAATGAAAATTTAAGTAAATAATTTATATTATTACATTTACATAATCTGATTATTACATTTACATAATCTGATTATAAGTAATTTATATTTTGACACTGTAATTTTTAGATATACAATATATTCCAACTTCAAAAGGGAATTTGTGCTTGTATCATGATGGATAATATATAATAAAAGAAAAGAATATTCAAAATCTAATTACTCAATATAATTTAAAAATTATAAATAAATATTTATTTGGATAAAGCATCTTGTTATATAAAACTTATGTATAATTATAATATAGATGTATAATAAAATATAATATTCTGACCAAATTATCAATTAATTTTATTTATAAGTTATAATTATCTAATAAATAATAAATTGTAATCATATTTATCAGTTGCTTTTATTTCCATTATTTAAAGGAGTTCAAAATCAGTAGCTCTTCTTTCTTCATTATCTAATAAATAATAAATTTTAATAATATTTATCAGTTGCTTCTATTTCCATTATTTAAGGAGTTCAAAATCAGTAGCTCTTCTTTCTTCATTATCTAATAAATTTTAATCATTTTTATCAGTTTATTAATAGGTATACATTGTAATCATATTTATAGTTGCTTCTATTTCCATCAATTAAAGGCATTCAAAATCAGTAGCTCTTCATTATCTAATAAATAATACATTGATATATGTTTATTAATAGGTATACATTATTACACTAATCTGATATAAAGAATTAGAAAAATATTTCCATTATTTAAAGGAGTTCAAAATCAGTAGCTCTTCTTTCTTCATTATCTAATAAATAATAAATTTTAATCATTTTTATCAGTTTATTAATAGGTATACGTTGTTTGTAATCATATTTATAGTTGCTTCTATTTCCATCAATTAAAGGCATTCAAAATCAGTAGCTCTTCATTATCTAATAAATAATACATTGATATATGTTTATTAATAGGTATACATAACTACATTAATCTGATATAAAGAATTAGAAAAATTACGTGCATATAAATTCATATGAATTAAAAAATCGTCCATTTTGACCTGAAATGGACAAAGGTACCATTTTACGATCAAAATAATACGATCAAAGGAGGCCCTCCCATATATATACATATATACCAAACTATATCTCAGTTTTTTTTTATGATCCTTAAACAAATATTTTAATAATCATAACTCGAAATGAACCGAACAATATTTTAATAATCATAACTCGAAATGACCCGTATAAATATTTTAATAATCGAAATCGACTAAGATATTCCTGTTCCAATTAATTTAATAATTAAAATGGTTTAAAATATTTAAATTATATATAACCTTTTATTCTATTCTATATTTCTAAATTCTATATATATTTTTTATTCTATTCTAATTTATTTCCCCCTCTTTCTTAATTGATCACAATGTCTCATTTCTACACTTTTATTTTCCATTACTACTAAACATAATTTATTCCCCAAATTCTCTATCACCGCGCCTTTTTCCCATTTTTCCATTTTCCATACATTCTAACCCAAACCAATTGATTCACTATATATTTCACCTGATTTTCCTTCTCCTGTATCTCCACAATTTCCCCAGGTTTCAACATATCCAAAACATATTTATTTTTCGACCTAACAATATTTCCGCAGGCGATTTACCATCTTTGCCTTTAGCATTATTATAATACAACTGCAATACCCATATTTCACTTCGGTTATCTTTAGTTTTCATTAACCAACTTTTAACAATCTCCACCATCCTTTCCGCCTGTCCATTCGAACTAGGATGGTACGGTGGTGTAACTATATGATTCACATTTAATTTGATACAAAATTTTTTATCCTATACTAATAAATGCTGGACCTCCATCCGATACCATAACTTTCGGTATCCCAAATCTCGAAAATATTTTTTTACAAAATTTTTTTACAATTCCCGTGGATAACCCATGTACCTCCAAGAATTCTATCCACTTCGAAAAAGAATCCACCATTAAAACAAATTTTTTCCCTTCCCACTCGAAAAAGTCCAAATGAATTCTTTCCCAAGGTTCTTTAGTTTTCAGCCAACTACTATTTTTATCTTTAGGGGGCATATTGGCACAGGCATTACAAACCTCACAATTTTTCCCTAATTTATCAATTTCTTCATTTATACCCGGCCACCATATGTATTCCCGTCCCCATTGTTTTATTTTCGTAATTCCTTGATGACCCGCATGTAAAATATCTAAAATTTTTCCTCTTAAATTACGAGGAATGATCGCTCTATTTCCTCTCATAATACATTTATCTACTATAGTTAATTCCGCTTCCACATTTTTAAATTTCCTTCCCTGATCACTTCATGGTTTTTTCCCAGTAATCCACAATTTTACCAAATTCAATTCTTTATCCTTCATAGTATATCTCTGAATATCCTCCCATTTGGTAGGACTACCCTTTAACACTTTAGTTAACATCCTGATAAGAGCTTCCTCTCCATTTTCTTCATCAATTTTCACCTCTTGTTTCTCATCAATGATTTCTAATCTAGACATAATGTCCGGCAAATGATTCTCTTTTCCCTGCCTATACTTCAACTCCAAATCAAAACTTACCACCAGCAGTAACCACCTTTGCAACCGAGGCAACATTATTAACTCCTTATTATCTTTTTTGAAAAGATGTATTAAGGGTTTATGATCTGTATACACTACAAATTTCTTCCCTATCAAATATTCTCTGCATTTTGTCAATCCAAAAATAACTGCCAAAGCTTCTTGTTCTATCACCGAATATCTGGTTTCCACCTCTCTGAATACCCTCGAAAAAAATATTACCGGTCTTTCTACACCTTCTATCACATGCAATAAAGCTCCTCCAACACCTTTATTCGAGGCATCTACCGCCAAAATAACCTCCAATTCGCTGTTAAAACATACTAAAATAGGCTCCTTGCTAATTTGTAATTTTAACCACTCAAACGCCAATTCTTGTTCATCTTTCCACTCAAAAGATACATTTTTCCGTAATAACTCATATAAGGGAGCTGCCACCTTTGCAAAATCTTCAATAAATCTATGGTAATAATTTACCATTCCCATAAACGATTGAATTTCAGCCTTATTCACCGGCTTTCTCATATTCGCAATACTTATCAAATTTTTATCCAACGGTTTTACCTCTATTCCATTTATCTTATGTCCCAAATATACAACTTCGGTAACTCCCATAACACTTTTTTCACTACTCGCACGCAATCCTTTAACTTTTATTCGTTCAAAAACCTCTTCCAACCTTCTATTATGTTGTTCTACCGTTATTCCTGTAATCAATACATCATCCATATAATAAAAAAAACCTTCTAACCCTTGAAAAACCGCAGCCATTGTCCTCTGAAAAATTGGTGCTGAAACACTTAATCCAAATGGCAATCTACAAAACGTAAACAATCCTTTAAACGTCGTTATGGTTAACAATTTTCTCGTAGATTCTTTCATAGGTAACTGCCAGTGGCGTATCCAGGATTTTCTTATAGGGGGGGAAATATATTTCTATTTTTAACTATTATTTACTAATTCGTGCTTATGGATAGATCATTACAAGCCTCTTTTTTATTATTTCAAGTTAGGTATATTATATTTAATAAAGTTTTTTTAAATGTAAAGGTTTATTTATATGTAAAGTTGAAATAAAGTGTAATGTCATTTTTTTTATAAAATTTGCTTTAAAAACTAGCCTCAGCTTAAATTCTCATACAATATAAGTAGAATATAATTTTTTTTATTGAAAATACTAATAGTAGTTTAAAATATTGACTAGAAAATAATTAAATTAACAAGTTTTTTTTAACTTCTTATCAAATACAAGATTTTTAATTATTTCGTTTGTCTTTGGAACCAAATCTCTGTGTATAATTAACAGAGCTAACCCATTTAGCCGAGATTCAGTACTTCGTAAATATGTTTTCAACCTTCTCAAGTTGGAAAAAGTCCTTTCATTCGTACATGTTGTAATAGGCAAACATGCAAGAATATAAAACAACTTCGAAATATTAGGAAATTGAGCCAAGGTTTCTTTACACCGATTGAGCGCATCAATAGCATGCTCAGGTAAAATAGCTAAACGTATAAATATTTATACCACAATTCGAATTCACTGATTAAATTTATTTCAGTATCAATCTCATAGGAATAAAATTTTTCTAAATATTTAATTTTACCAATAGTGGCATTAGAAAATGAAGAAGGATCTTTGGGTAATAAAACTTGAAGATTGCTAAAGACTTGTTTTTTATCTAAAACCCGTACTTTTATTTGCTATAAAAAAGTATCTAAGAATGGGATGAAAATGGATATTTTAGAATATTCGTTGAGCCAATATTTATTTTCATCTCAAAAATGGCCTAGGTGCTAGACGAGGTTTAATTAGTATTATATCATAAAATTTAGCCTTCGATTCAACGTCTAGATAAATATTATGAAAATATTTATCTACATTCATTCTTATTGTATCTACCTGTTCATGTATATTTTCCGCCAAATCAATAACTTGAACCAAATCTAAATTTGGTTTTTGTAAATTTCTACAAAGTAGTGAGCTAAAAATAATTTATTGATGCAACTAGCAGCAATGATAAACTCTGATTGATCAATTGAATTCAATAATGATATCGCTGCTAACGACACATTACTTTTTTTCATGCTCAGCCTTATTTATAAATTATCGTTTGATTTCAATCTCTTTGACTAAATATTTTTACATTTTATTAATATTTTTGAATAATATGTTGAAAAATTAATATTCAAATATTTGTAAAATTTTGATTTGTGTGGGTAGGGGGGGTCTGGGGGGTGGGGGTAAAATTTTTATTAGCTTAAAATGATATTTATGAAAATAGTCAAATTTGCGATGGGGGGGGAAATTTCCCCCTTTCCCCCCATTGGTTACGCGCCTGGTAACTGCAAATACGCACATGAAAAATCTATTTTTGAAAAATACTTCGCCCCCTTTAAATTCGCTAAAATTTCTTCAATTCTCGGCAACGGATACTTTACTTCCACAACCCATGGATTTAAAGTTACTCTAAAATCCGCACAAATCCTTAACTTACCATTAGCTTTCCTTACCGGAACTAATGGAGTTGCCCATTCACTATATCCAATGGGACAAATTATTCTATCTCTTAACCAATTATCCAATCCTTTTTCCATTTCTGCTCTCCATTCAAACGGTACCCTCCTAACAGCACAATATTGTGGAATAAACCCTTCTTTCAAACGTATATCTACTTCATAATCTACTAAACGTCCCAATCTTTCATCAAAAATTTCTTTATATTTTTCCTTCAAATTAACCATTGCCTTCCTTAACACCACTAAATCTTCTTTACTTTCATTTTCTATTTTTTTTCTAACCAACTTCACCGGAAAATTTTGTGCTACAGACAATTTTTCTCTCTCTAAATTCGAATCTTTGCAAATTCCATCACCACTCATATAACTATCCTCCAATCCCGATTCCCTTGAAATCAACTTTTTGTCTACCTCACTAAAATTTTCATCACTTGCTTCCAAAATATTATCCATCTCTACATCCACAAAAATATCATCAATATCCAAATTAACATTTTCCCCAGAATCATATATTATAGCTTGTTCATTATTCACACGATCAGGCTCCTCCTGATCCATTTTTCCATTTATAATTATTTCATTTCTGAGAATTTCCTCAAAATCCTTTCTCGAATTTTTAGTTTCCTCGATTTTAATATTCCAATTTCCGAAATTCCATTTATTTCATTATCACAAACTTTCTGATTATCATT